TTGCTGTTTTTTTTTTTTTTTTGTCTAACTGTTACAACTCACCCACAACATACCCCAGCAGTGGGGTAGATTGTAACAAAGGCACTCCATGTAACTGACATCAACTTGCAAGGGCTGTGATATTCTTGCAGAGGTCTGAATTGGTTCACTATATCTCAAAAATTCAGCGAGTTACAGATGCTGAAACAAAAAGTGTTACAACCATACCCGATCTCCCCTATCTATAGAAACAAGAGAGCAACCAAATATAGAACATAAAGTACTTGTATAAGCGATATGGTTACTGAAGGCTATGACAGGATGCTAAACAAGTTATGTACAACACCGTAGAGCAGTTGAGTAATAGTTGCAATAGTTTTACATAGTTAGCGTTTGTGTAGTTGAACATAACAAACAAAAAACCAACAGACAGATACACACAGAGCTGCTGATGCAGGGGTTGTTTTTGCTGCTGTTTTTTTAAGCTTTGTTAATAATTTCCAGGGATGGCAAAAGCTGTTTGGCCAAGGACTTGCTATTGAAGGACAATATGATAAGCAGGTGAGGACTGAACTTACATGAGATGTCCACGTAGGACTGTGAGAAAGCAAAATGTGAGACAATAAGCAGCTGTGTAACAAGTTATTAAATTTAATACCATCTATAGTTTCTGCAGATTTCCAGGTAAAGGATTTTACAAATGAAAATGTAGTTGCTTGCTTTATTTATTAATTTATTTATTTGAGTTGCTTTTCTGAGACAAAAAAAAATAATCAAAATTATAAAGAAGCAAATTATTAAAATGTACTAATTGTTTTTTTTTTCTTTGTTTGTTTGTTTTTGTTTTATTAGCCAGGAAAAAAAGGGGGACAAGTGTTGTTTTCAAAAGGGTTTGAAATGAACTATACTTGTATTATAGTCACTGGTTCATATTTCCTCACACCGTCAGCAGTCATGGACAAGATGAGACAACCCCTGTTGGGCAATAGCTGGTGTCCAGTTACATATGACTAAGAGACAGGGATTTAACCACAATGTGAAAATGTGCATGTTGGCATGGGAACTTGTCTCTTAAAATAATGTGCTAGCAACAAATGAGGTGCTATAGCAACAGACTATGTGAACAAACGTTTGCTTTGTCCTATTAAAAAGAGTGGCAATTTGGCCTTTGCTTGGTAAAATGTGTGACTGTGTGTCTGAACAAAACTGCTATCATCACAAGGATCTTTTCACATTACTTCAGAGGGAATCTGAGAGTTCAGTGTCTCTGACTGTGAAGTAAAAGTATTTAGGCCTATTACATGACAAGGAGATGGTGAAGAGGACCAGGAGGTGCTTGACTTTGAATGTGCAGGAGTAAGGAAAACCATACACAAAGCCCACGTTTAAAGAGTGTTTTTCTCCTGAGGGAGCATGGCTCTGCTCCCAGATATCTAGATTTTACAGCATGAAAGCTCACTAATGAATATCTGTTTCATGTAAAATCTTGACTGAATGTCTTGGCATTGAAATAACATTTGAAACATCACCTGAACTAGCTGCACTAGTTTTTCAGCTTTTTCATGTTTCATTTAGATGTACATTTGATATTGGATATGGATGCTATGTGGACTGCTTCTGTGTGTACTTCAGGGCATGGGCATGCATGCTTATAACTTGGACTATAATTAGCATGTTCATGTGAGTCAAAAAGGAAATTACATGCTTGTATCTTACAGTTAGTTGAAAATAAACGGTAAACATCTAAATGTCGAGGTGCAAGTGTTTATCAAAACTAGGAAACATGACCGCATATGCATGGTTAAACTTCCTTTTTTGATGTTTGTATCACGGTTACAGAACACAGTCTGTATACTGAGGTTTTGTCAACCACTGAGCAAAAAAAAAAAAGAGGTATTCATATGTATAATACAGATAAAAAGTAAACTTGTTAAAAATAAGAGCAGAAAATATTGCTTTGTGCTGTTGTTACTCCATCACATGGCCTTTTTGTCATATTTGTTTTAAATTCCTCCAAAATGAGAGGCACTGTGAACCCCTCCGTCATGCATGTAGCTGCACATATGGAACAAGTCAAAGTTTCCTTGTGTAGACTAAAGAGTAGAGCTGACTGAGCGGCAGTCATTAAGTGGAAAACCTGAGGCGAAGTTTGGAAAGGAAGTAAATGAGCTCATAAATCCACAGTATGTCTGCTCATGTCTCCCACACTCATCAGAGTGTACCTGTACCATCTGTACCGTGGCCAGGATATAATCAACTTCATTTTCATCCGTTCTTATCCTCAAATCAGCCATATTAAAAATTAAACATCGAGTTATACCAGTTTACATCTTAATGTCATATGAAGTTTGTTTGATTGCTTGTTTTGATCAGGTGTGAAAAAGTTTATGTTTTGCATTAATATATTAACCTTTTATACATTATGTTTTTTAAGTATTAAGTATTAAACATTAAGTAGTAAGTAGTTTTCCATGTTAATTTTACTTCATTCCATTCATGCAAATCTCATTTCACTAGTAATATAGTAATATAACACTCAGTAATATAACTTGGAGGCAGTATGCTTACATTCTTTCTTTCTTTCTTTTTTTTGTTCTTCAAAAATTGAACAGCAGTAGTAATGCATAACCATCTTTTTATATAGGATACTATATACTTCTAGTTTGGTAGCTTGCAGCATCATAGCAAAATTAAGAAAATATGGCAAGAGTTATGGACACAGGAGGGAAAGGGAAGACACTTTCAATGTGTGGATTTCCAGAAACAGTCAAAGATGTTTTTTCTTAAATGTGCTGGTTATAACAAAAGAGTTAAGGATAAAAAGGCTAACACTGAAGAGCTTGCTGGACGATAATTCAACAATGACCAAATCTTTTTAGATTATCTTAAGAAAACTAGTTTGATCGTAATAATTTTTTTTCTCTCTCCCCTTCTATATCAACGCGTCACACTCCACCCCAGTAGGTGGCGGAAATGCACCAAATCTGGTTTGCCAACCGCCATTAAATCCAAAAGAAGAAGAAGAAGAAGAAGCATCATAGCAACGAAGAACGAAAACAGCGACTTTCCTTCAAAATGGCAAGTACATTTTAGCACTTAAGCTTGATAACGTGTGCTTATAATTGAAAGAACATGTTTTTTTCGGTCGTTATTGTCTCAGTTAGGGTTTTTGTGGGCTAACTTTGATTGCAGGGCTCGAGTAAATATAATAAATAAAAGTAAAAATACGTAGCCTACATTTAGAGATGTCACTATAATCAATAATATAAATTGAAAACATATCTACAAACACATATTATATTTGAAGAAATTCTTAGAATAACAGATGAAGAGAGTACCTCAAAATTCTGTTTTGTTTTTATTTATTTATTTAATGTTTAGTGTAAAACATAAATTCAGCAAAAATGACAGTGTATATATTTTCATGTTTGACCCAAACTATACTGCGATCGATCTAAAAGACTAGTTAGACTAGGTAATATTAGAGAACTAAGAACTCACTGGTGCAGTGACCTGCTCTCCTCCAGTCCAGCAGATGGCAGTAACGCAGAACCGACCGTTCACATAATACATACTTCTAGTTCCGTAGCTTGCAGCATTAATCAATCCAAGCAACGAAAACAGCGATTTACCTTCACAATGGCAAGTACACTTTAGCTTTTAAACGTGATAATATGTGCGTATAATTGAAAGTATATGTTTCTTAGCTCGTTATTGTCTCGGTTAAGATATTTGTGAGCTAACTTTGACTACAGGGCGTTGTCATTTAAGATATGACACTTAGTAACCAGCTACTGTTCGACTAAATATAATAAACAAAAGCAAAAATACGTTTCCCCCCCGCAGACAGGTTTATGGATTTTCAGAGCGGCTACTCCGAAGGATATTAGATATTAAAGCAATGACATACAGCTTTTTTCGTGTTACTTTTGCCGTTTTAATCACTTAAGCGTTTATGTTGCAGGCTGAGGTGGAAGAGACGATCAAAAGGATTCAGAGTCAGAAAGGAGTACAAGGAATCATCATTGTTAATGCAGAAGGTATCTGGCAAATGAGAAATGCTTGCAGATGTTTTAGTTTGGGTGCAAACGATGTACTTCATTGGCAGCATGATATTGATAAAACAAAGAGATCTTTGTTGTTATATCTGTAGTATTTCTATGTGCTCTTTAAACAGGCATCCCCATCAAAAGCACTCTTGACAACTCAAGCACAGTTCAGTACGCCGGTAATGTCCACCAGCTGCTCATGAAAGCTCGGGGAATGGTGAGGGACATTGACCCTCAAAATGATCTCACCTTTCTCAGAGTTCGATCAAAGAAGAATGAGATCATGATTGCCCCAGGTAAAGAGATGTACACTTGTGAAATGCTCATTTCCATTAGGTTATTGCAGTGGTTCTCCACAAACTTCCAAGCCAGACAATGACTTAAAATGATTTAAATCAATATAAATTTTTTTTTAATTACAATAATAATAACTATTAAATGAATATTTCACCCAAAAATTAGAATTTGCTGAAAATTGACTCACCCTTAGGCCATGGTATATGTAACAGAGTTTGTTGTTTCATCAGAACAGATTTGGACTAATTTAGCATTACACCCTTTGATCCTCTACAGTGAATGGGTGCCGTCAGAATGAGAGTCACAACAATCCACAAGTATTTGTCACGACTCCAGTGAAGCAAAAAGCTGTGTGTTTAACAAATTAACAAATCTTGTCTGAATCAGGAGAGAAACATGCACTTCACAAGGCATTAATTGATGGACTGGAGTTGTGTGGATTATTATGCTGTTTTTATCAGCTGTTTGGACAGTCATTCTGATGGCACCCATTCACTGCAGAGGTGGATAAGTGTGATGTAATGCTAAATTTCTCCAAATCTGTTCTGAAAAGGAAACAAACTCATCTACATCTTGGATGGCCTGAGGGTGAGCTAATTTTCATTTTAAAAGAATAGTTCACCAAAAGTGTGAAAACAATCTAACTTAATTAAAACTTCAAGTCACAAAGGTCACCACTGGGTTAGTGGGCCTGTGAAGCTACTTTACAGGTCTTGGATGACAGTGTTTGACTAATCATGCTTTGTCTTGAAATTAATAATTATATGTACAGTTTCCTTTTTTGTAGATCAGGTATATGTTTTTAATATTGAATAATATTTTTACTCAATCAAATAGCTGCCAGCAGACTTGCAGATCATTTAAATGTCAGATGTGATGTTTAGGACTGACTGTGTTTCGCAAGTGAATCTCATCCGTTTGTTCGGAAAGTGTGGTCAAAATCTGGTGTATCTGCACTGTGCATAAACATTGTGTGTGTATGTAATGCATATTTCTATTCAGAATACAAAAACCTAAACAGATGTGAGTTGTCTATGACAGTGTTTCCCAACCTTTTTTTAGTCGCGGCACCCTTTGGAAATTTGAACAAATTTGTGGCACCCTACAAAATAAATTGTCACAATACTTGAATTTCTAACTTTGATATGATACTTTGAAAAGTATAGATATTCGGTACTGCGGGAAGAACTGCAAAATATACTGTCATACAGATATTTTTAATATTATAAACATTTTTGTCCATCAATTGTGGCAATCAGTAGGCAATTGCTAATGAAGAGACCAGTTTATATGACAGATTTTAATGTAGGCTTTTATTCATATGTAAACATTGTTTAATTACCATTATAACTAGCTGTCTCACACATTTTTGCTCACTCAGTCTATTTTGCATTTTACAGTGGGGTAATTTTGTTGCAGTAGCACGAGATAGCTTGATTTAAAACTTTGAATTGAATAAAAAATGACAAGAAAGCAGTCAGTAATAAAATATTTGAGTGGACTTTGCTGTTCCGATGAGCATGAACGGTATGCGACTGAGCGGAGCGCACACGCATAGAGCGGGATAATACGCAGAGCGTCACTCCACGTGAAAGTGAAACCTGAGCGGTGAACTAATTTTCGGCAGCCGAAATTTCGGTGCATCTCTACCTGTTCTCGACAGACGGCACCCCGGTAGGGGAACACCGGTCTATGACATATAATTGTAAATAGACTGATAAATATGAGCATAAATTTGTATTTTATTCTGTTCTCTCTGCAGATAAGGACTATTTCCTGATCGTCATTCAAAATCCTACAGAGTAGTTCTGAATTCTTCGTAGTTGTGTTGCTGTAGTATTTTTCTTTTTTTAATTAATTGCCAAAAGTGTTTCATTTCATGTTCTAGGAAAGCTTCCATCTTATTACAAATATTCAGTTTATACTGCTCTTGCTTATCATTCCAATATTTTGCTCTTTGTGTTGTAATTTATTGTTCTCTCATATTCTCTCTTTTGCAAATTCTTCAGCTGTTCATATAACTATAAGTATCAACATGACACTATGACATACTGTACTTGTTTATTCTAAAAAAGGACAATAAAACAATAATGCATTAACCTTTCGTTTATTTTTTACCTGTATATTTTCATATTGAATGGAAAGATGAAGCCAAAGTGTTACACAGTTTGCCATAATGTAAAACTGTGTTTAGATAGATTTAAATGTATATGAACTATTGATCTGTTAAATGATTTATAATGTTAAAAATACACAATTAAGCTATTATAAAGAGTTATTAAAATGCAGAATAGTTACAGAAACTTAATTTGTAAGATTAGAATAAATACTTGGAAAAGGTCTTGTTATAAATTTATGTGAATGTACGTAGACCTGTACTTTAACTGGGTGCTCTGTCCCTTTAAATCCTGCTATGACATCACGAACTTTAGTACATTGTCTGGAGCTGTTTTGCTTACAGTGAGTCAGGAGCTCGAGAAGAAGCGAAGTCGATCGAGAATTCAGCATATAATATAACGCCTTTTAGTTCAATTTTTTTAAAATCACATTCAAGTCCAGTTATGCCATCCGACAGACCCTTCAAACAGAGACGGAGCTTTGGTAAGACGAGTTTTATTCGTGCTGTGTCAGCACAAGTGTGTTTGTTTATCAGGTTTGTTTTTGCCCCTAGCCTGCTAGCAGCTGGGTGACACACTTTACAGTTTCCTATAAGGCCTCACATGGTTATGAAACGATTTTAGAGATACGTTTAAGATTTAAGTAAAACGGTTTTTAACCAAACCGACAGAGGTCAGTTGGTATCCAGTGAGGTAGCCTGGCCCATAGGCCTTCTGTTTCAATAACAACAGCTTTAATCCACAGATGATTTGTTGGAGATCATGTATATAATAATATACACGTATTTTTATGTTGGTGTATTGTTAACCATATTTGAACTGTCAGGTATTAACATCTATGATAGATTATCTATGATATTCATTTACTGATACTAGTATTCTTGCCTATATACTAGTATTCTTGCCTATCAATTGGTATAAAATAAAGAAAGCAGTCCTTTTATGAATATACATTGTGATTAATAACAACATTAAAGAAATGGATGGACATTATTACACGTGTTGGTGAAATGATGCTGTAATTTGAGCTCTTTCTCATAGTCCAGACTAAGGACAGGGTGTGGGGAGGGAGGAGTATAAAGCCCTTGCATAATCTTCATAAAACATAACAAAAACAACATATCTGCTGTTTTAAACATACCTATAAGTGTCCAGGCCAATATGTTCTGCATATTTACCCGGCCTTTGGGATTATGTAATTGACATGAATGACCTTGACAAGGGCTCAGTTAAGATGACACATTGACACAGAGTTGGTGCTCTTACTCTGTACCAATAAGCAAGCTGGCTTAGTGTTGTGGTTTAGCATTTGACATGCATGTTTTTTTTCCCCAATGTTACTTCGATTGACCCAATCATTATGCTCTTAGAACAAAAAGACTTCTCAGATAAAATTGGGTTACTCTGGATAAAATAAGAGTACTAATCCCCTGTGAGATAAATTGTGGGACTCTGGTTTCATAGCAATACTATATATGCCACAAACTCTTTGGGAAGAATGACTTTTCATATTTATATATCTTATATATGTTGAAAATAGAGTAGGGTATGTCAAACAGCAAGGTAACAACACACCAGCAATAATCAACCCTTACTAGTTTCTTATGCGTCAGGAATGTTTATTGCCTGTTTCTGCTAAACAGGTAGGCCTGTCACGATAACACCTTTTTGTTGTGCGATATATTGCCCCAGAAATAATTGTGATAAGCGATATTATTGTCATTTTAAAGACCATTTTATGCCACTGAATATATAATTGTAATGTAACAGCATAATAATGCAAGAAGGCCTACACTCCAAATGACAACAAACTTTTAGTTTTTAAGAATATTTAGATAGTGGAAATTAAGTAACCTGAATAAATCGTAAATAAAAATTCTCTAACAAAAAGTGCAAAGTAACAAAGAAGCACAAAGAAGTTGTATGGAGATTTTTCCATCTACAGATTTGTCCCTGACCTTCTTTTCTCTGTAAATTAAGGGTGCACACTATTGCTGAAAAACACAAACACTACTTAGCAGTCAGATGTCCGTCAGATCCCTAAAACGAGGCCATATCTGCAGATGAAACTTTTTTTTGTAGAAGCATTTTTTAAATTTGAACTAGCACCTCATGACTAAACCACATTATGTACGAGAAAGTGAAAGTGATGTGACATGTGGCCAAGTATGGTGACCCATACTCAGAATTAGTGCTCTGCATTTACCCATCCAAAGTGCACACACACAGCAGTGAACACACACACACACCGTGAACACACACCCGGAGCAGTGGGCAGCCATTTATGCTGCGGCGCCCAGGGAGCAGTTGGGGGTTCGGTGCCTTGCTCAAGGGCACCTCAGTCATGGTACTGAAGGTGGGAGAGAGCGCTGTACATTCACTCCCCCCACCTACAATCCCTGCCGGTACGAGACTCGAACCCACAACCTTTGGGTTATGAGTCCGACTCTCTAACCGTTAGGCCACGACTTCCCCAAGCTGCAAAATGGTGACTTTAATTTAAGTAAATATAATGGGTCATATACATATATTGCGTGATAAGTCGGATATATTGATTATTGCGACAGGCCTATAAACAGGTTTTACGTAAGTGATGCTAATGCAGTGACTATAGTGTTTTGGGGAATGAGGGATAACTACTGTGATGTCAATCCTGTGTGCTTCTAGTTACATAAACGCATCCTAGTGTAGTGTTGTAGTCTACGATCATTTAAAGTGCTTTCTGTCTAAGTGAGTGTATTAAATCATTGTTTTATTTTTCTTGTTTTTCAGCTGACCGTTGCAAGGAAGTGCAGCAGATACGAGAGCAGCATCCTAATAAAATTCCGGTGAGAAACTCTTTCAGCTTATGGATGTGTCATAAATGAATTAAGAATGAGTGAAGAAGGACCTTATTGCTTTCAAGATATTACTTGCATATCTTCTTTTAAGATGCTAAGATTCTTCTAAGGAGGCCTTAAGATAATTGAAAATGATTGAAAAAACAGCTTTAAAATAAGATAAAACAACTAAAAATAAATATATTTCTTATTTTAATTAAGGGTTCTCATGGTCTTTGGAAACCAGGATATGTGAGAAAGCAGTGTTATTTTATGTCAGTGAGAAGCTATTATAGTCGTTATGAATATTTTAAATCAGCTTTTATTTTTATATTTTCCATTTTTTTAATTTTAGTTAGTAATTTTTAGTTTTTGCAATTTTGTTATGATTTTGTCATGTTTTATGTGGTTATATAGTTTTAAAATAAGAAATGTTGCCTTGGAAAATTATCTGAAATGCGTCCTTCGGAATATTTTGTTTTATTTCAGTTAACAGTTATCTTATTTCAAGGACGGTTTTTTTTTTGGTTGTTTCTTTTTGTTTTTTTAGTTAACTATATTAACCCTGGAGGAAGCCTAATTTTAAAAGTGTGATTTCTAAACCTGGGAAAGTCATGTAAATTAATAAAAACTCTTAAAACTCCATGGGCATTTTATATGAATATACATTTTTCTAGTCATGCTCAGGTAGAAAGTAAGAGTTTAAAAAAATCCATGTACTTAATTCTTATCCAGTAAATCTGAAACAACTGGAAAAGTCACAGATATTTGTATGATTAAATGTTGTGGATAAAATGTTGTGGATAATTAGGGGCCTTGGAGTAAAAAAGTTTTAGAAGCACTGCTCTAGACCTATTTCAAGACAATGTCAAAAGACTATATCAATATCAGTTTGTATTGTTAATATTTTTTCTTCCAGGTGATCATTGAGAGGTATAAGGGAGAAAAGCAACTTCCTGTCTTGGACAAGACCAAGTTCCTCGTCCCTGACCATGTTAACATGAGTGAGCTGGTAAAGATAATCAGGTAAACATAATATCCCTAGATCCAACATTTTTTTTTCTTTTTTTACTTGTTGAGTTTTTAAAACCAGGTTGTTGAGTGTACCTTCCTGCATGATTTTTATTTGATTTCACTGAGATATGCAGAGAGCTTTTTTTGTCCGTGTATGCTTGTTTCAGTCTCATCTGGTTTGTTTACTCGTCTGGTGGGGGTTTGAAGCGGGGTGGGGGAGAAGAATGCAATGGTGTGCCAAATTTGAGTGTCTGCTGACCCTGTTATCCACAGGGGACTTCTGCGAATGCTTTTAAACAGTTTGAACTTGGAAAAATGTTTGCACAACATCCACATTCTCTGTGGTGTATTATTTTCATATATCCATTGTGGTGTATTCTTTTTAAAACAAGACTCTAGTGAGCTAAAGTTTCCTCTTAAGGGAAGCTTGTAGATCAGTGTTGCCTTCCAGGTATTTTAACACAGACTCAGTCAGATGATCCGACTAAGAATATTTTGTTGGACCCATGCTGCCTGTCATACTTAATAATCCTTGGCTGCGAGTCATGACTGCTTTATTATTTATAGTTCAGACTCGAAATAATGATTTAGTGATTATTAGAATTTAAAGGCGAAGCGTGTCATTTCCGCTGCACTAGAATCACAATTTACATGGCTGTTAACAAAATAAATAAACGTTGACATGTTTTATAAATATTTTTTTCAGGTTCAACACAAGTCCAGTCAACATAATCTTGTGGCATATTTACCACAAACAATTATTTTGACTCATCCCTTGTTTTCATAAAAAAGAAATAAGGCAAAATCATGGGTACGAGTGAGACATTTCAAATGAATGAGGCAAGATATTAAAGGATTTAAAAGCAGATATATATTTATTATTTTTTAAAACAATATGGTTGTTTAAGGGTTTTTAAGCCAGCAAAATTGCTAAACTAAGTATTATTTTACACAAATTATAGTAGGATTTTTTTTAACAAATCATATTGTCTGCATCTTGTGGCTATATTATTGAAACAAAGTATTTTAGGATTTCCTTCCATTGCAAGTATCTCACTGTAAACCAGATTTTTGCCCTTTTTTTTTTTTTTAAAGAAAAGGCAAAATCATGGTTTTGGTGAGGCATTTTCAATCTTTTTTTCAAAGATTTTTAAACGTGTGTGTTATTTGAGCTTTAAAGCTGTTTAAATCATCATTTATACAGTTGTTTAGGATTTTCATGGTAATGATATAGCAAAATTGGATATAACTTTACACATATTTCTGTTACATTGATTTTTATTTCCACACAAAAATCATATCAGGCATATTGTTTGCATCTTTTGGCTTTATTATTGAAACAGTGAGTATTTTAATGTTTACTTTGATCTGTAAACCAGATTTTTTTTTTAAAGAAAATGAGGGACAAGTGGACATTGGTTTTTGTGGTAATCAATATTATGTCACAAATGCCTGTTGATAGAGTTGAACTTGTACTGAACCCTGAATATCCCTTTAAATTTGACTTGAATGTGCATGTTTTTGTCATTATAATCATCAGTGATCAAAATGTCTCTGTTTTCCAGGCGTAGACTGCAGCTCAACCCCACCCAGGCGTTTTTTCTTCTTGTCAATCAGCACAGCATGGTCAGTGTGTCCACCCCCATTTCAGAGATCTACGAACAAGAGCGAGATGAAGATGGCTTCCTCTACATGGTTTACGCCTCCCAGGAGACCTTCGGTTGCTAAGCAGGCCACTCGACCTTTGAGGGAGACAGGGACAGCAGAGGGAGCGAGAGACGTCAACAGGAAGCAGGCTCACCCAAATGTACCCATCTCTCTCTCCCCTTCATCCCTGCTCTCCTCCCTTGCTGGTATGAAACAAAATAAAGCCGTTGATTCTTCTCCATGTGACACTACAGTGCAAACCACAGCACTACTGTAAACACTATTCAGACCCTTCGCCCCATTTTAAACGTACTCGTTTTTTTATAAGCTAGTATAACGTAGGTATTACACTGATAATGCGTCGTATTTGGCCCCAGTTGCTTTTTCCCCCTTGCATTTTATTCTTTTTAGGCTGTTATGTCAGATAATTAGTAACACATATTGCTGTAAATAGATGAGAGTGTGTTTTTTTTCTTTGTTTTAGGATTAATTTTCTTTTTCGGTCTGTTTGCTTGTAGTTATTACCTGTTACCAGACCTTAGTGGTGCTGGTGTAAGATTATAAAATCTTACTTCAGAATTAAGTGCTTATTCAAACCAAGTGATTAATCATAATGCAGCATAATTCTCATCAAGACCCATTCTGTGGTTCCCACGACAAAACTGTAAGGAGACCAATGGTTCCAAAGGTGTAGTTATAAAAATTAATTCAACTGTCAGAGGGTTTCTGAAGCCTTTATGAGCCTGTGTTTATTTCTGGGCTCCTGTGTAAAAATAACTCCTCATTCACTCATTGTAGAATAAAGATACTGCCTGACGGTAACTGTACTCAAAGGCAACATTGATCTGTACTGTACACATGTGAGCCAGAAGAACATCTGAAATCTTATGGCATACAGTATTCTGCAGTCAGACTTGCATAATCTTTAGTAGATGCGAATAAATTGCTTTTTTTGCACAATTAAAACATCTAAGAGGACAAAACTATTAGAAGTTCAACAATTATAGCACATAATTATATTCTCCTTTATACTTGTTTTTTTTTTCTCCTGTGTCACCATACGAGCTGTATGCCTTCTGTTAAATCTCAAATGAAGGGATAGTGATGCACTACTTTGCATGTTTTTTGTCAACCTTTTTTATATTGATTGATGTTATAGATTTGTTAATTATTTCAGCTTTATTTAAAGCAAAAAACCTGAAAGAATTTGTAGATGTTTTGAAACCAAAAGAAAAACAACAACAACTGAAATATGTATGTCTATGTATGTTTGAAAAATGTGTGTATATAAATCATTGTATGATTGATGTGTTATGTGTTTAATTTCTAGACATATATAAGCACTGATGATATATTGTCCAGTACCATATATGAACCTAACAAGGTTCATCTAGGGGAAATATCTATCTATCTATCTATCTATCTGTCCGTCTGTCTATATCTATCATCTATATATACTGTATATATATATATATATAATGTGTGCGCATACATACTGACTGAAGAAGGCCTACTACTATATATACACACATACATATGTATCTGGAGATATGGGAGAGAGGCACAGACACTGACAATTGAGACAGTAATGTTTTTCTAATACTATATTTTTTTTTCATGCAAATCATAGATAAAAATCATCCTTGAGCAAGAAAACTGCCCAGATGTGCTAAAAGACAATTGACAGTTGCAGTTAAAATTCTGAAAGAATGAAAGATGCATAAATTCAGTTCTCAACAGCTGTCCCGTCTGTGTTTGAGATATGGAGAACGCTTTATTTGACTAAATTAACTATCTGTAACTGTAATAACTGTTAGTAGTATAGATGTTTTTCTTTTGAACTAGTCTTGATATATTGAGCTTTACATAGTCTATACCTGAGAGTTTCTGTATGATCAGGTAGTTCAGTACCACATGATGAAGCTGTAAAGAACTGTATAACGTGCATGTATAAAATGTATAATACTGACCAACAATGTATGACATTGCAAAAGGAAAATCTGAAAAAGTAGCTTTGAAAGGAGTCAGATCATGTTTCATTATAAATGATAATGAGCTAAATGATTTACACAAATATACACAGAAACAAAAACACAAAGACAAATACACGGCTAATTTTGGTGCCATTTTCCAACATGGCTAGTTAGAAGTTTCTGTAAGAGTCTGTAGCATCCTTTGGCCATCAGGTGGCAGTAATGTCTAGCAGGAGATGAGCAGTGAGTTGGTGAGAGACTGGTGACTGTGCTCTATCTATCTTCTGGCCATTAGAGAGGATCTCACATGCAGCCAGTTCATGACAAAGAGCATTGAGCACCTCCAAGATATGTGCTTTCCCTGCAGATCAGTTAGAGATGTAAGGGTTAATCCACTATACACTCAATCTTTTAATTACATCTTTACACTGTACACTGGGGTCCAAAAGTCTGAGATCGCTAATGAAAATGCTTTTCTAACTAAGCACCATTTTTTATGATAAATTATCAGCAAAAAATGAGTTAAAAGTTCACGTTAAAAAATAACAGTATTTGATTTGTCTCCTTTTTTAATTGCAACAGCACAGTTCAGTGTTATCTTAGTATCGCTGAGACACTAATATAGTTTTTACAAATATTTAACATTTTCATATTGCATTTTCATTTTAAATTTCAAGTTTTAGTAATTTTGTTGTGTGCTTTTGTCATTTTATTAGTTATTTGTTTTAAATATCTTTATATCTATATTTTTATTTTTACTGACCTTTATTTTATTTTGAATTATTTTAGCGCATCAAGTAAAACTGAAATATTTTTTTTTTATTTTACTTCAAGTAATGAGTATACATACAGGTATATATGTATATATACAGTGGGTACGGAAAGTATTCAGACCCCCTTAAATTTTTCACTCTTTGTTATATTGCAGCCATTTGCTAAAATCATTTAAGTTAATTTTTTTTCCTCATTGCTATGAATAGCACAAAATTTGACATATCTTTTGTTTTACTTTTTTTTTTTTAAATCACAAAACTTATTTCCATCTTAAAATTAAAATAAAAACAATGTAATAATAATAATAATAATAATTAAAAATCTCAGCTTTTAAAGTGGTCTCAGACTGTATATCTAATGCTCCTGCCACATTTTCACGGCATACCAGGCCTGTTAAACAACGAAGGTTTTATAAGAGCAAAGCTGCCAAGTTATTGTGTCTCTTACCATGCTGAGGATCACTGCAGGACTCCAATGTGCTGAGCAAAATCTTTCCTAAAGATCTTCTTGAGACATTCTACAAAAAATTTACCACCATAATAAATGTTAATAAATGGCATTAAATAAATTGCATAAATTATATATGTGACCCTGGACCACAAAACCAGTCATAAGTAGCACGCGTATATTTGTAGCAATAGCCAACAATACATTGTATGGGTCAAAATTATACATTTTTCTTTTATGCCAAAAATCATTAGGATATTAAGTAAACCCTCAGATTCCGGCCAAATATTATCCTATCCTAACATACATCAATGGAAAGCTTATTTATTCAGCTTTCAGGTGATTTATGACACTTATGACTGGTTTTGGGGTCCAGGGTCACACATACATGAATGAATACATTTCTAAAATGAAAATAATTTCAAAAATTATAAAATGGCAAAATGCTTAGTTAACCCTAATTGAATGTGTCTAAATTTATAATGAAAATGCGATCAACCAGCCTGACATGACATACTGAAGATATTAATTGCACACAATACTGTACTTGTACAGAAACAACAATTAACAAGGAGGATAATCATATGGACATGTTGCTAAATGACTTCCATAATGAAGTTTATATTATTTTAGAATCATCAGCAAATCCAATTTGTTAGATAAACACTCATCTACTGAACTGTGTGGCTTAGAAACATTTACAACAGCATCACTGGGCTGACAAGTCTCTACAGACTGACCAGCTCTCGCAGCTGCTGCAGAAGCTGTAGCACATCCATCAGTTTCTCCTCCACCAGAGACAAACGCACCCGCTCCGTCTCCAACATCTGCAGCTCCAGGTGGAGCAGCTCTGTCTCCTCGGCCTTCTGTTGTAGCTCCTGGACCAGGGCGTCCCTCATCTGCAGACACATGACACTTACCGTTGACCTTGCAAACAGATTTAAACACTATCGCTCCAACACGCAATGAATTTCAGGTTAGGAGAATCTTTGCCAGATGTGCCGATAGCCCATAATTCAGTTGAGACGCATAATTTCTCAGACAGAAATAGTTCAGATATGCTTGTTTTTGGCCTGTCTGACCATATGTCAAAAATCCACATCCACATCCAAGTCTCGGCCCAAACTGGTTATGCCCAGATCGTTCGAGGATGGTTTTTTCCACGAATGTGTGTGGGGCCTTTTTAAAAACACTAGCAACATAGTTCATGTCTGGTGCTTCGCAGCTGAGCTGTGTCTAACAGCTCAATGTAGATGTAATTGTGTAAGGCCTGGAGGTTTATTCCTGCAGTCATCTGATTGGCTGTTCACACAGACACACACGCAGCTGGAGAGTGAGAGCTGTGGCTTTTCTTTGAAGCCTGTCTTCTCATAACAACCAAGTGCCTTGTAATCTAATTTTACACCCCTGCACCCGAAAGCAACCATGAACGTAAAAGTAAAACAGAACTGAAAGTCCTGGTTGGGTGACGTAAGCTGTTGAAAAGAGGAGCAGCAGTAGCAGCCAAAGTTTATTTGGATGAACTTCTGCCCTCGCGTATGAAAATGTCTCATTAGTATTTGAAATGTTTGATACAGATTTTAACTGCTGGGTTACTATGTGTGCTTGTGTTTGTTTTTCTTTAGAGTTTAATATGATTCTGTTCTTCAGCTGTTCATGTCCTCCAGCTCAGATATTATTTGTTTCTATGGCAATGCACATAATAGCAAAACGAATCCAAATATTTACTTTTCACATCTATTCACCTCTTCTTTTACAAAATCGCATCAGGTATTTCTGGCTATGCAAGGTAGCTGAATAAGCACCTTCATTCATTAGCCACTATTGTTTTCGTTTTTACATCACAGCAATCACATAAGAGAAATGAACATTTCTGAGTATTCATCTCAACAAGGATGTGAACTACTTCAGACATAAACAAACCTCAGAGAATGTTTCATTTTAACCCTTGAAGCATTTTATAAAACTATTACAGCGATTAAAAGGGATAGTTCATCCACGAAATGACTGACTTTCTTTTGTGAAACAATATATGTATATACATAAGGGTGTAACGGTACACGTATTCGTACCGAAAATTTTCGCGTCTTTTGTTTCGGTACGCATATTTACCGAACAAATACAGCATTGTTTTAACCACTGCACGAGTGGAACTTAATTGGGAACTCCCAGTCTTATATATTAATTTTGATAAGAACCAAAGTCTCATCTTTCAAATTCTGTCCATTTGTTTTAGGAAATTCAAACAATAAATAACGTTTTGGCACTCTTTGATGTGTCAAGACAGATCGCTGTATAAACGCCGCACTGAGTGAGCGTGATCTCTTTACTACTAGTTTTAATGCGAAATAAACATGAACGAACATCTCATGCCTCATGTAATTGCTCAATCAGTGTTTCGAAAAGACGTCAAAACAAAATGTCACATAGCAGTTCATTTACCTCAGGCAAGTCATCAGTGTCCACAGCTTGTTAGAGCACTAGAGAAATTAAGTCTAGAGAAGAGCATTTCACTAAATATTAGACCACTACTCATTATATTTTACTTTACTTGTTAGTGATGGCTTAATTATTTAAAGTAAGTTTAATAAAAAAAATCTGTTATGAAACAAGTTATGACAGCCACTGTGTAATTTATAAGTTAATTTCAATCTGCATTATGTGCAATTTACATGTTTTCATATTTTTAAGTTGAGTGTTGATTGTTATATTTAAAAATAAATAGTAATAAAATTTAAGTTTTGGCTCTGTTGTTAATTGTAACCTTATAGCAATATCAAAGGGCTCCTTCTAGTTTAGAGCATAAGATGAGGTAGATTTTTATCCCTAAGGAAATTTTATTATATATACAGTGGGTACGGAAAGTATTCAGACCCCCTTAAATTTTTCACTCTTTGTTATATTGCAGCCATTTGCTAAAATCATTTAAGTTAATTTTTTTTCCTCATTAATGTACACTATACATTTCAAATGTCTCTGTTTTTATTCGTCCATACAATGGACATCAATGTTACCATATCGGTTTTCTTACCGATATTCTTCAAAATATCTCCTTTCATGTTCCACAGAAGAAAGTATGCCATACAGGTTTGAAATGACTTGAGAATAAGTAAATGACAAAACTTAATTTTCTTTGGTGAACTATCCCTTTAAGTGTTAAATATATCATGATATCTCACAAGCTATAAAAAAAACATCACTTGAATGCAGTCATACCTGGTCAGTGTCCATCTCTGCCCTCTTGGCCTGACTCTCCTTCAGTTCTAGTTGTTTGTTGAGTCGTATGACCCTCTCCAGCAGCTCTAGCACAGCCGTCTGACTCTCCTCTGTGCGCGAGTCACCGAAATGAGACAGCAGCTTCTTCACTGCTTTCTCATCACACCTGAGAGCACACAAAACACGTGAAGAACCGAAACAAGTAGGATGGAAAATACTGGCAGTATGTACATTTACTAATTCTTGACATGTTTGGATCTAATTTGAGTTTCAGAGCGTACAAAATAATTGTAAACAGCTGTACAACAGCTGTACAAGGGCTTTTTTAAACGCACTGAGTGATATGGTTAGTAGGGGACTGATGTACCTGTCTCCACAGCAGGACAGTCTGGTGAGAATTCGCTTCACCTCGTCCACTTGTCTCTGCTGCTCTCCGGTCCATCTTTCTTCCTCTTCATCAGACGCCGCCTGACCCTCCACTGAACGGAAAAGCTGCTCCTCCACTGCGTGAACACAGAGCATAAACATTTCTCATTACTGTGAAGCAAGGTATCAAAAAAAAAAAAGGGTTTTGTTTTACTTGAATTAACCAGTTCAATTAGATGTTACCACGTTATGGTATTGTTTACTATTGTTTTAAGGGTTGCGGTTAATGCAATTATTTAAAGTTTTTGTAAGAAGATCCTTATACTAACCAATGCTGCATTCATTTAATTAAAAGCACAGTAAAACTGTAATATTGTGAAATATTGTTACAATTTTAAATTACTGGCCCGGTTTCATAGACAGGGCTTAGCCTAAGCCAGGATTAGGCCATAGTTCAATTAGGACCTTTAAGTAATTTTTATAAACGTGCCTTAGAAAAAAACATTCCTGGTGTGCATCTTGAGACAAAACAAAGGCACTGATATATTTTAAGATTACTCAGTGCAAGTTTCTTTCATTTGAAACAGCTCAGACTTACATTTTAGTCTAGGACTAGGTTTAAACCTGGTTTGTGAAACCGGGGGACTGTCTTTTATTTTAATACATTTTAAAATGTAATTTAGTCCTGTGATGGCAAAGCTGAATTTTCAGTGTTTTTAGTCACATGATCCTTCAGAAATCATTCTAACAAGATGATTTGCTGCTCAAGAAACATTTATTATTATCAACGTTAAAACAGTTGCTGCCTATTATTTTTGTGGAAACCGTGATACATTTTATACAGGATTCTTTAATGAACAAAGTTTAAAAGAACAGCATTTATTAAAATATAAATCTTTTGCATCATTACATTTTTTGTTACTTTTGATCAATTTAATGCATCCTTACTAAATAAAAGCATTCATTTATTTAAAAAAAAATCTTGCTGACTTCAAATGTTTAGTAGGTCAGGTTATCTTAACATTTTTTTTTTTTTATATACATGAATCTGCAATAATGCACTATTGCCCAATTACTGTAATTTCAAGGAAATGGTCTTCAGAAATGATTCAGAAAATGATGCAAGTATCAACTACACAAGTTGCATGCCAACAGAGTCTCAAAAAGGGTTGAGTAATGTCAATATTTGTCTTACTAGTGTCAGGCACAGTCTCTGCACGTCCCGTCGGAGAGCGTCGATCCTGCTCTGTGTCCAGGCAACAGCGTGGCGCAGTCTGACTGGTCCCATTATACCGTCTGTCTGGTTTGTTGATGAATGGAACCGATGTTTTAGACACTTCAGATCTGTGAAGAATAAAGTACAGTGAGATAACAGGTCAGTGTAGATCAGATGTAATGGGTAGTTCTGGTTTAGTGCAATATAGTAACATAACACTAGCAATGAACTGCTTAGGGCGTGCTTAAATTGCAACAATTAGCATTTATTAGTTAAAGGGGTCATATGATGCTATTTTAAAGATCATTATTTTGTGTATTTGGTGTCACAGAATATGTTGACATGCTTTAATGTTCAAAAAACACATTATTTTTCAAATACTGTACATACTGTACGGTCCTCTATGCCCTGCCTCTCTCAAACACGTAGTTTTCAACAAAGCCCCCTCCTTTGACAAGCACAGTCTGCTCTGATTCCTTCTTTCTTTGATTGCACATTTGGGCGGCATTATGCTAATATTGCCACATATTGACGTAGATATGTGGTGGCGTGTTAGAACGAGCCGTTTTAGGTAGGCGTGGCTGACTCTTAACTCTTATAAAGAATATCTCTTTGGATTTGAGACTTTAGTCTTTGCAACTTTACAGATCTTCTTTATGCACCAAGAGCTTGTTACACTCCAAAGAGAAAGGAAAACTTGAAATCGCATCATATGACCCCTTTAATTTAAGCATTGTATTAATGTTTCATCATGTTCAAACATATATAGAACTACACATCATTTCCACAACTTTATTTAACAAAGACACCAAGTAATATGATCATTGTAATTCTTATTCTCAACCACTGTAATACTTTCACCAGCTCTTGATCAGCAAAGGTGGTTGTGGGTAATTGAAGCCAGGCAAGGTGACATAAGATTCATCAAAGTGAAAAGAAAGTTTAAGGCTCATGAAAACTACTAGACCCTTGAAACACAGTATGCACTATGATGAATGTATAACATATGGCTGACGTCATTTACACCGACGCATATATGCAGCCAGGTATTAAAAGTACATTATTTTGAAAATCTTTACTTTTGTCAGACAGCTATAAGTGAATGTTTCAACGAAACGGTTTCTCTGAGCCTTGTGACAGAAGAAATGCAATAGGGGGCTTTCATGAATCAAAGAATAAATGTTTCCAGATGACAATGTCCTGCCTGCAGAAGAGAAAAAAAGTAAAAGGCTGCAGAAATCCATTTGCATGAATCCCAGAGAGTGAAAAAAGGGAAAAGAATTTGAAGCCGGGTGCACTCATGCATATATCCTGCTGCCATGAGGAACCCTTCAGTGCAGAGCGGCCATAAATATAGGCCGTATGAGCCCACAAAATCATCCCTCGGTACACTACGCTTTCGCTTCTGAGTGGTACGCACAGTTTAAGGTCAATATTTGGAATCCACATTGTCAGATGAGGGGGCGCAGTGTGTTTGAAAACGGGGGTGGGTCGGTTAAAGGTGGGTTTGAGGGCTCTCTGATGACCTACAGCTGCCGAAGGAGAGTACCAGGGAGACCCTAAACAGCCTGTCATGGTTGCTGTAGGAACCCACTGACATAAGTAAGATATTATGGTATAGGCACGGTATGCAGTGTAACTAACTAGAGTCTAATTGACAGGGATGTTGGAATAATGTGTACTGTACTAAAAGAAAAGGCACTTTCGAAGAACAGGTTACACATTTTTAAAGAACAAAACAAAACAAATTAAACTGGAACTAAAATGTCAGACAAAATGCAGTTTAAACACATTTACATGACTATTCAAAACTTGGGCTCAATAAGATTTTTAAGATATCTTCACTGCACAAGGATGCATTAAATTGATCAAATGTACCATTAAAGATTTTTACATTGCTAGAAAAAAAATCATATAAATGCTTTCTAACTTCTACTCATCAAATAAATGTTTATAACTTTCTAATTATCAAAGAATCCTAAGACTTTCCAATATTAAGAATGTTAGGCTGCACAACTGCTTTCAATATTTATAACAGGAAATGTTTCTTGAGCAGCAAATCAGCATATTAGAATGATTTCTGAAGGATCACGTGACACTGAAGACTAGAGTAATGATGCTGCAAATTTGCCATCACAGAAATAAATTACAATTTAAACTATATTAAAATATAATATTTGTTATTTTAAATTGAATTAATGTATTCTTGATCAAATAAATGCAGTTGAGCATAAGAGACTTTTCAAAAACATTCAAAAAATCCTACCAACCACAAACATTTTTGATGTTTGAGCGTATGAATACGTTATTTTAAAAAAAACATTAAATAATCTTGTACCATATTCATAATAAATGCCAAAAAGATAACTTTGTGCCTCTGAAAAAGCAGGACAATATACTGTATGCCACATTTGCTTAACGTCAATATCAGTCTTGTAGAAATGAATAGAATGGTCTATATGACTAATACTGCTGACAGGGTCTGCTCTGCTTTTTGTCTTCATGACTGAGAATAACAAATGAAGATGTGCTACTGAAAAGACTCTGACTGTAACCCACCGTCTCTAGAAATGGACAGATGAGCACACACTGAGAACAGTTAAAGGAACTCTCTAGACACCTGAATCCACTCCAAACACTTGGAAAGAGTCTCAATATTAGATCCAGCCATCTTACCCTTGGCCTCTTCAAACACTGACTGTGAAACAAGTCTGGCCAAAGAAAGTAGGATGGAATGGTTGCATAAGGGGTTATGAAAAAGTAATCAACATAAAAATACAAGGGTGGAGAAAAGTATTTTCTTCTTAACAGAACCAAGTGAGGTGGGTATCACTTAATAATGGCAGTTTTTTTGGGCATATATACCATAGTAGCACTAGCCAAATGTCATGATAAATTAATATGCTAACCATTTAGTACCATGGTCCTAAAATGTTATGCTAGGCTATATTATCTCCAAAGTCCTTTTTTGGTAAGTGATCATGAAAAAAAAACCAAGCTATAAATTAAATTAGACAAGTTTTTTGCAATCCAGATTCGAACTCACAGCACAGTTCAACATGTCACGAGTACCAAGTACAACATCACTATGTGCGCTAACCTCTAGGCCACAGCTCTAACAAAATGAGAGAAATTTAATACATAGTATGCTACATCTAATGCACACTTTAGATGCTGAAATACTGAAACATATTGGTTTTATTTCATAGCGTTCACAAAGAGCGAGAACAGAGCATATGTCTGGATAAGACAAACACAAAGCCCAAACATGACAGAACCTCCATCTGGCATACGTTAGCTCTCCCAACCGTTAATTCCATTCTGTTTGATTCCATCCCCACTGTCTTCCAAACATCCACCTTATATACAAAGCAAACTTCTTATTTAGTGACAACAGAAGATACAGGAATAAAACAGCACTTGTGAGAGGATGAACTAATATTCCATCACGTTTCTTTGTGATGCAGGATTACTAGAATTTAAATTCAAAACAGAAGATTTTATGATCAGTATTTCTTGGAAACCCAATGGCCTGAAAGTCACAGTTTTCTTTTACTGGAAAAGTGGAGGTGGATTGGACATTTCCTAACCAGTCTGCAATGGCTGTACTAGCGTCTGTCTTTCTGATAAGTGTCTGTAGAAAACTTTACAAGTCACATACTGAACCTCAAACCATTCTTTTTTTGAGACACATAGGCTAAAAAACTACTTGTATGTGTTTAAAGAGGAAAAAGACAACACTTACTCATCACTGGTTCTACCAAGCTTTCTTACTAAAATTTAGGGCAAGTTACAAAACCAAAACAGATGCAAGACAGAACTGTGGCAAAGTCTGTATCTCATTAGTCTGTGTATCACTTTTGGCTGCACGTCTCATCTCTTGCCTTGAACGAGGACTCTATTTTGGTGGTCAAGCTGCTAACAATAGGTTTCTATCTTGCGACTATATTTACACTGGACCGGAGTTATGTGCTAACGTGGGGCGAGCCCAGCTGTTTGTGGTTTAGACGTGCACTTCCTGTGTTTATTACAGCAGGATCTGAACTTCCAGACCCCCTCTTGCACCCAGTTTACTTTCAAAGTACTTCATTGGAATGAAGACTCAGAGTAAAGTTAGAAAGATGAGACAATCCTATATGTTAAACAACCACATAAATAACTAAATTTCTGCCCGGATGTTGCAAGGTTCTTGATAAATGCTGATAAAGCAATCGATTTATCTTGAGACTATGAAACAGATGTCCACAATTAAGACTAGGCACATGGTTGGTAACACGATACCCTGGTTAAGTAAGACTAGAGAGGCTGAGTCAAACTGGCAGACATGGACCATGTGTGTATGCCCAGATGCTGTTATTCTTCCACTATATGGTCTGAGACGCGGGAAATCACCTGATCTTGGTGGGGGATTCTGTCTGGAACCGTCTTGAGATTCCAAACAGAACCAGACGATAATTCATCAGAGTCCGGAATCTTTGTTATTACGAGGGCAGTCCCAGTAAACAGTTTTTGAAGGAGGTTCGTGAAGTGTTTACGCATCTTTACAAGTCATAAACATGAAACGAACACATTGGAGAAGAATCCAAATGGACTTAAACAGATTGAGCCTCGTGCACATTTCCATTTCAGACAAGTCAAAGTGTTCGCAAGGAAGTGGGAGAAGAAAGTTTTTGAGAACGTTTCTCCCACAGCTTGGGCAGTTTATTAGTGCTGAGGTCTGCAGAGAAGGAGTATCAGCTGGCCGAGGGTGGGAGGAGAAAGAGAAATGTTTGTAGCTGTGTTTGAAACTGGAAAAAAGTCAAGGTCTCAGGAGTTTTTCATTCTCAAAGTGCTTTCGAAAATACTGGACCAAAAAATCATGCTGTATAAAATCCTTCTAAAGACAACATTTTTATGAGGCCTCATTTTGTTGGCATTTCTTTACCTTATTCAGACATAATAGAGGGGAATTTTCAAAGGGTTGTTCATTCCATCTGTCCAGCCCTGTTATTATGTGTTGAGGTACAACAGGTTACCCAGACACATTGTACGTGAGTCGGGCCGCACCGCAGCTGAAATAATAGTTCTCTGAATAATAACTGATTATTTTAGAGCAGTTAGACGGCCTTACATTTAACATGTCCGTCTCTGTGATGTCAGCAGAGCTCAAAAAACTGCACAGACCTGATGATAAATGCAATGCTTTTCACCTGGTATGAATAGAGAGACATAAAGCACGTCTGAAAGCTGAGCGATAAATAGAGTAAGATGGTGGAAATTCATCCCCACTGAACAAACAGCAGAGTGTTTGCCTCTTCCTCCAGATGGCGGCTCTTGTCCCCCCTCCTCTCTTTGTGTTCCTCTCGTACCGTCTGTCTCTTTTGTCCTGAGGTCCGCCTCGCTGCGGTCCTCTTGGGGTCTAGACTGAGGGCTTCGGTCCATCTTGGATTCTGAGGGAGAGAAAAACGCCTCCAGGCAGGACACACACGGATGGTGTGTTTTTCATGGAAATGAACTGAACAGATCAGGTCTGTTCCCACCACCTCCCCCATGAGACCTGGCCTTCATCTAAACCTCTTCCTCTTTCTTTATTAGGGCCAAGAGGGCTTCAGGAAACCTTGCACAATATCTGTGAGATCTACACTTGGACTTTCTCTCATTCTAAATGACTGGAAATGGCTCATTAAAAAAAAGCTAATTTCTCCAGGGGCCACATATCACAATAATTATTTTCCGTTATACTACCATTCAAAATGTTGGGGTCAGTAAGATTTTTTTTTTTTAAATAAATCAATGATTATTTAGTAAGGATTCGTTTAACAAAAGTGACAATAATTACAAGTTTGTTTTTTTTTCCAAATAAATGCTTTTTAAAAACATTCTATTCGTCAAAGAATCCTGAAAAAAAAGGTATCCTGGTTTTCAGAAAAATAATAAGAAGCATCAAAAGAAGAGCATCTATTATAGAAAGCTTTAAAAACATTTTTACGTTTTTACTGCCACTTTTGATCAATATAATTTCTTTAAAAAGTACTTATCCCAGGGGTTTGAGCAGCACAACTGTTTTCAACATTGATAATAATAAGACATGTTTCTTGAGCATCAAAGAAACAGCATATTAGAGTGATTTCTGAAGGATCATGTGACACTGAAGACTGGAGTAATGATGTTGAAAATTTTGCTTAGCCATAACAGAAATTAATTACATTTTAAATATTAAAATGCAGAATAATATTTCACAATATTACTGTTTTACAGTATTTTTGATCAAATAAATACAGCTTTGGTGAGCTAATAATGGACTTCGGTAACACTTTAGTATAGGGACAATTCTCACTATTAAGTAGTTGCTTGTTAGCATGCCTATTAACATATTTGCTGTTTATTTGTGCTTATAAAGCACATATTCTACATCTCTAATACTACCCAATACCGAAACCACATTACTAACTATAAATAAGCTGCAAATGAGCAATTTATTGAGGCAAAAGTCATAGTTAATGCTTTGTTAATACCGAAACTATTAAAAATTTAACTAACCCCAAACTTTTAAATGGTAGTGCATATTAAAAGTAAAAGGACACACATGAAGAATCTGAAAGCATAAAAAGATCAAACATTCAGTGACAGGGCAAATTTGTCTAACTTCTCTTCCAGAACATCAATGAAGTCATAAAATCACATAATATTGTTCTGCGTGTAGAATCTGGAGGAAATTGTACCTCTGGTTCTTTGATCAGGTCCAGGTTTGTGTTATCACACATATTGAAGAAAGAAATTTAACATTGAAACAGTGTCTCTGGAAATGCAGCATTTCCAATATATGACTACTCTGAAGAAAGAGATAATTAGTTTAATAGACATCCCTTTTGTGTGGATAAAGAGTCAAATATGGTTGATTAATGTCATGACAGATGGGGAGGTTAAAGCAGCAGGTGGGGGAACTGAAGTAAGCTATTAAACTGTGTGAATATTACAAGAACTGCATTAAGGTCTGAACAAAAAGGATATAAAAATAGCCAGCGGACACACCTCTCTCCAGATAAAAGGCATTGCTCTCAGTGTGAATGGGTCAGTCCATGACCCGTGGAGCATGACCGGTATCCTCTTCGCCCACTGGCAGCTGCATCAAAAGCTATCCTCCACCGTTTTTGTTTTCAGAGAGCTGTGTGC